ATGGGAGCATGTTACAAGTTCCACCCTAAAAATGGACCCATGAATATTCAAGACCCTTTAAAATCTAATCAGGCAAACTTGCATTTTACAATGCTGGTAGATTTGCAAATAAACTGCCCTGAAACAACCAAGGTTCAAAGCCAAAGCAGCAATTAGACCAGTGGTTCTCAACCTTTCTAATGCCGCGACCCCTTAATACAGTTCCTCATGTTGTGGTGACCCCCAACCATAAAATTATTTTCGTTGCTACTTCATAACTGTAATTTTGCAGTGGGAGGACTAGCGCCCCCATCGTTGGTATCAGTGGGAGGAATAGTGCCCCATCGTTGGTATCAGTGGGGGAGGAATAGTGCCCCATCGTTGGTGTCAGTGGGGGGAGGAATAGTGCCCCATCGTTGGTGTCAGTGGGGGGAGGAATAGTGCCCCATCGTTGGTGTCAGTGGGGGGAGGAATAGTGCCCCATCGTTGGTGTCAGTGGGGGGAGGAATAGTGCCCCATCGTTGGTGTCAGTGGGGGGAGGAATAGTGCCCCATCGTTGGTGTCAGTGGGGGGAGGAATAGTGCCCCATCGTTGGTGTCAGTGGGGGGAGGAATAGTGCCCCATGTTGGGGTGGGGGGAATAGTGCCCCATCGTTGGTGTCAGTGGGGGGAGGAATAGTGCCCCATCGTTGGTGTCAGTGGGGGGAGGAATAGTGCCCCATCGTTGGTGTCAGTGGGGGGAGGAATAGTGCCCCATCGTTGGTGTCAGTGGGGGGAGGAATAGTGCCCCATCGTTGGTGTCAGTGGGGGGAGGAATAGTGCCCCATCGTTGGTGTCAGTGGGGGGAGGAATAGTGCCCCATCGTTGGTGTCAGTGGGGGGAGGAATAGTGCCCCATCGTTGGTGTCAGTGGGGGGAGGAATAGTGCCCCATCGTTGGTGTCAGTGGGGGGAGGAATAGTGCCCCATCGTTGGTGTCAGTGGGGGGAGGAATAGTGCCCCATCGTTGGTGTCAGTGGGGGGAGGAATAGTGCCCCATCGTTGGTGTCAGTGGGGGGAGGAATAGTGCCCCATCGTTGGTGTCAGTGGGGGGAGGAATAGTGCCCCATCGTTGGTGTCAGTGGGGGGAGGAATAGTGCCCCATCGTTGGTGTCAGTGGGGGGAGGAATAGTGCCCCATCGTTGGTGTCAGTGGGGGGAGGAATAGTGCCCCATCGTTGGTGTCAGTGGGGGGAGGAATAGTGCCCCATCGTTGGTGTCAGTGGGGGGAGGAATAGTGCCCCATCGTTGGTGTCAGTGGGGGGAGGAATAGTGCCCCATCGTTGGTGTCAGTGGGGGGAGGAATAGTGCCCCATCGTTGGTGTCAGTGGGGGGAGGAATAGTGCCCCATCGTTGGTGTCAGTGGGGGGAGGAATAGTGCCCCATCGTTGGTGTCAGTGGGGGGAGGAATAGTGCCCCATCGTTGGTGTCAGTGGGGGGAGGAATAGTGCCCCATCGTTGGTGTCAGTGGGGGGAGGAATAGTGCCCCATCGTTGGTGTCAGTGGGGGGAGGAATAGTGCCCCATCGTTGGTGTCAGTGGGGGGAGGAATAGTGCCCCATCGTTGGTGTCAGTGGGGGGAGGAATAGTGCCCCATCGTTGGTGTCAGTGGGGGGAGGAATAGTGCCCCATCGTTGGTGTCAGTGGGGGGAGGAATAGTGCCCCATCGTTGGTATTAGTGACACAAATGATGGGGCACTATCCCTTCCACTGACACCAATGATACTTACCTTGCTGACCCCTGCTCCAGCCTGGGATCGCTCTCTCCCTCTCCCATCTACAGCCTGCATACCTGGCTGCAGCAGCAAAATTTGCACTTACCTGTCAGCTGTCTTCCTTCTCTGGCCTCTCTCTTCACTCGTTCCTGCAGCTCCCTCGATCTTCTTCGATCTCCGCGCGCTGCTGCTCGGCTCCTCCTCTCCAAGCTCCACCTTCTCGCCGGTGATTGGCCGCCTGTGTGCCTCTCCTGAGCTACAGTTCCGGTGGCCAATCAGCGGCGAGGAGGCGGTGACAGGGGCAGCATATCATCCCGCCCACACATCGCCGGAGACAGCAGCGGTGTCTCGGTTCCTAAGACCATCGGAAATATGTGTTTTCCGATGGTCTTAGGCGACCCCTGGGAAATGGTCGTTCGACCCCCAAAGGGGTCGCGACCCCCAGGTTGAGAACAGCTGAATTAGACACTCGGACCTCCCCTGGAAGAATTTTACTGACCGGACCCTCATGAATTTTAATTCAGAACCTGTCATATGTCATGTATAAAGAGGCTGACAAACTGTTTGACACATAAAAGAGACATTTGAAGAAGAAACTAAAGAACATGATTTAATTGAATAACATTGCCACTATGTATCTAGGAATAACATTAACAGACTAAACGCCACAAAAATTGTAGTGTTAAAGTAAAACTTACTTGGTGTAAATGCAAATCGATGCTTGCACAGTTCACAGTACTCTTTTCTGCTGTGTTTAAGCCATTGAACTAAGCTGAAAAAAGACAAATTAAAAATGCGTGAGTTTGACTTTTAACATCCTCATTTAAAAAAATATTGACAGGCTGTTTTCCCCAAAAAATAATAGCAAATCTTCACAAGGAGACATGCATACTTCTTGGTTTAATTTTGGCTTTTCGCTGCCAGGCCAATTTTTCAATTCTTCACGAATTAAAATATTAGAAGAAATTGCGCTATGACAATAACAAAGCTGCTAGCACAGACTGGTGCAGAGAAGCAAGTTACAAACTGAAGTGCAAAGAGAAATACGGAGGTGAAGGAAGACGGAATACAGACGATTTATTGGAATATGGACGATTTCTGATGGAATAACCAGACAAAAGGAGGGTCACGCCCTCCTGTGAGGGATTCCATAGATACACATTTTCGACTCTTCTACTGTACTTCAGAGACTCAATATATTATAAGCTTATTTGAAAGTGCATGTGGTAGTGGATCACCGAGGCGATTAACTGAAAGAGGAAGAATATTTTTTTATAATATGGATCTTTAATATTGTATATTTGTATATTATAATTTTGGTGATGGTTAGTTTGTTCCATTAGTGCTGAACATTTTTTGAAAATTCATAATGAATGTTAAAATAGGTAAATTTGACTGAAATTTAGTCAGGACCTCCTCCACAGCACCTCTGGCATAAAATGCAACCTGCAAAGTTTTTGGTTGCACCATATTTGTGTGAATGTTTATAAAATACTTTTTTGCTCTTTTTAATTCACTACAAGAATCTTAGTGTGCACAAATATCACAGTCTTCAAATTTCCCATTAAGCATAAAAGAATAGAATTTGTTGAGTACCGTATTTTTCGCTCCATAAGACGCACTTTTTTCCCCCGAAAAAAAGGGGGGAAAATGTCAGTGCGTATTATGGAGCGGATATGGAGCGACAAGTCCGGTATTTCCACCGCCACCACCATGTCAGAACACCGGGCCGGCCGCTCAGCTCTTCTCTGTAGCAGGACCTTACCTGTTCCTTGGTCCAGCGCTGTAGTCTTCCCGCGCTGGAATCTTTAGTGTGGGCAACTGGCTGTGACAGTCGGGTGCCCGCTGCGCTTTGTGAATGGCCCAGCGTCTTCTGGGATACATGACAGGTTCCAGAAGATGCTGGGCCATTCACAAAGCACAGTGATTCTCGCGTAATAGCAGTGGGCATACGGCTGTCAGCTAGGTCCGAAGCCCGCCTCCCCACCTGCCCCCTTAATCCTGTCCCCACACAACTCCTATGGTCACCCTTCTCCTCCATCCTACGCTCCCTCACCCACATCTTCAATCTCTCCCCCTCTACTGGCGCATTCCCCTCCCCTCTAAAGCACACGCACATCACTCCCATACTCAAAAAACCCTCCCTGGACCCCACCGACCTGAACAACCTTAGACCCATCTCCCTGCTGCCATTTACATCCAAACTCCTCGAGCGCTTAGTCTATAATCGCCTAAGCTTCGACCTCAACAACAACCACCTCCTTGATCCCCTACAGTCTGGCTTCCGTCCCCTACACTCTACCGAAACCGCCCTACTCAAACTCACCAACAACCTGCTAACTGCCAAAGCTAATGGCCACTACTCAGTCCTACTCCTCGACCTCTCCGCGGCCTTCGACACAGTTGACCACCCCCTCCTCAAAAAACTATACTACCTTGGCATCAGAGACTCCGCTCTCTCCTGGCTCTCCTATCTATCCCAGCGATCCTTCAGTGTTACCTATAATGCTGCCATCTCCCCCCCTCTCTGTTGGGGTCCCCCAAGGCTCTGTCCTTGGGCCCTTCTCTTCTCCATCTACACCTCCTACCTTGGCCAACTGATATACTCCCGCGTCTTCAACTACCACCTCTACGCCGATGACATGCAAATCTCTCTACTCCTCGCCTCACCCCTTCAGTCTCCGCCCAAATCACCTGCCTACTGAACGACAGACTGAATGTCACTCCATTTCCTCAAATTAAACCTTTCCAAAACTGAGCTCCTAGTTTTCCCCCCAGCCCGTGCCCCCCCCCCCCCCCCCTTAACCTCTTCATCACGACCAATAACGCCACCATCAGTCCCACTCCGCAAGCCAAAGTTCTAGGTGTCACTGTAGAATCCAATCTGTTCTTCCAGCCCCATGTCCAATCGCTGGCAAATTCATGCAGGCTCCCCCTCTGCAACATCTCCAAAATACGTTCATTCCTAACCCCAGACACTACTAAACAACTCATTCACTGCCTTATTATCTCACGACTCGACTACTGTAACTCCCTCCTCACAGGCTTACCTCATCACAGACTATCCCCGCTTCAGTCTATCCTGAACTCAGCGGCCAGACTCATCCACATTACCAACCGCTCCGTATCCGCCACCCCCTTCTGTCATTCCCTCCACTGGCTTCCAATTGCCCAATGCATAAAATGCAAACTACTAACATTGACACACAAAGCTATTCATAATACTGCCCCCAACTACCTCACCGACCTGATATCCAAATACCACCCAACACGTACTCTTTGCTCCTCACAAGACATCCTACTCTCTAGCTCCCTGGTCTCCTCCTCCCATGCCCGACTCCGGGACTTCCCCAGGTCTTCCCCCATCCTCTGGAACTCACTACCCCAATCCATCAGACTGTCACCTACCCTCCTCACCTTTAGGCGCACCGTGAAAACCCATCTCTTCATGGAAGCCTACCCCCTCCTCACCTAACAGCCGATCTCCTCCACTCCTCCTACCACCTGCGCTGTGTCCGCAGTCTCCGGTCATCCCCTGCGCTGTGTCCGCAGTCTCCGGTCATCCCCTGAACTGTGTCCGCAGTCTCCGGTCATCCCCTGAACTGTGTCCGCAGTCTCCGGTCATCCCCTGAACTGTGTCCGCAGTCTCCGGTCATCCCCTGAACTGTGTCCGCAGTCTCCGGTCATCCTTGTACTGTGTCCGCAGTCTCTGGTCATCCCTGTGCTGTGTCCGCAGTCTCTGGTCATCCCCTGTGCTGTGTCCGCAGTCTCTGGCCATCTCCTGTACTGTGTCCGCAGTCTCTGGCCATCTCCTGTACTGTGTCCGCAGTCTCTGGCCATCTCCTGTACTGTGTCCGCAGTCTCTGGCCATCTCCTGTACTGTGTCCGCAGTCTCTGGCCATCTCCTGTACTGTGTCCGCAGTCTCTGGCCATCTCCTGTACTGTGTCCGCAGTCTCTGGCCATCTCCTGTACTGTGTCCGCAGTCTCTGGCCATCTCCTGTACTCTGTTCGCAGTCTCTGGCCATCTCCTGTACTATGTCCGCAGTCTCTGGTCATCCCGTGCTGTGTCCGCAGTCTCTGGTCATCCCGTGCTGTGTCCGCAGTCTCTGGTCATCCCGTGCTGTGTCCGCAGTCTCTGGTCATCCCCTGTACTGTGTCCGCAGTCTCTGGTCATCCCCTGTACTGTGTCCGCAGTCTCTGGTCATCCCCTGTACTATGTCCGCAGTCTCTGTTCATCTCCTGTACTGTGTCTGCAGTCTCTGGTCATTTTCTGTACTATGTCTGCAGTCCATTGGTTCAGAATATTTTTTTCTTGTTTTTCACCTCTAAAACCTAGGCACGTCTTATGGCCAGGTGTGTCTTATGGAGCGAAACATACGGTAATACCCAGCACCATGAACCTTGTTTGTAATACCTAGCACCATAAAACCATGTTTGTCATGAACCTTGAACCCCTTGCTCCTCCCATGAACTTCCTGATATAAGCCATGTCTCTGCACTTCCTGTTTGCTAGATTATTGTGCTCTCCAGCCAGAATCGTGCTCCTTGTCTTCTCTGTTATTGTCCATATTTGATACCACTCGTTTTTGACACATGTGGATGTATGGATAGAGAGCCTCGCGTTGCTCCCATCATCCTTCACTCCAACAAGAAGAACCCTGGGAAGCTTAGGCTCCATTTCAGAAGTGCATGTGATGAAGGAAAAGCTGCAAATCCCAGCCATCACCTTAGCACATGTCAACAGTGGAGAATTACACCGGTGTCTTGTCTAAGTGGCAGGATATGTGTGCATGATCCAGCAGTGACCATTATTCCAGAGAAGTGGATGGTGACCCAAGACTACCTATCCATAAGTCCTGGAATATAAAGATTTACCACAAGTGCATCTGACTTTCTTGTTTATCACAAGAGGTCATTAATATCTGGTGAGTGAGAAGCGTATCCAGGGTACACTGTGGATTGGAGCGCATGGTGTTGTTAGATATTATATGCAAGTACAAGTGATTTATTTTGGACTTGGAGCATATGGTATTTATATACACTTGAGGACATTTATTTATAAATAAAGCCACAAGCTGTCACAGCCTGGTGCCTATAGTTGAGATGGCGGCGCCGTGGAGGAAGGAAAGGGAGAAGGGATAGCGCAGGTGAGAACATCGCTGGACTCCGGGACAGGTAAGTGTGTTTTTTTTGGGTTTTTTTTTAAAGTCAGCAGCTACAGTTTTTGTAGCTGCTGACTTTTTAATAAACACAAAAACGGCTGGAACTCTGCTTTAACCGCTTCCCACCATGTACTGCAGACGGGTGGTAGCTGCAGGTAATGCGACGTACCCGTACATCACTTTGCTCTTCCAGGTTTAGAGCATGCATGCACGTGCCCCCCCGCTTGACTCCGGTTGTCATTCATTGTAGGAGGTGTATGTCATCAGGTTCCGGCCAGTGATTTTGACCGGGACTCTGCCAATCTCCTACAGTGAATGGAGATGCAGAGCTGCGCCTGTATTTGTAAACAGAGACACAGGATCTAGCTGGTTCTTCTCTCCCTGGAACCATTTTGCTCCAGAGAGAGAAGAAAGACATCACACTGGAGTAAAAGCAACACACTGCACCCATACATATTAGATAGAGACATTTTAATTCCTTGATTGCCACATTTAACCCTCTGACAGTGCCATTAGCACAGTGTGAATGTGCAGTATGTTCACTGATTACTGTATTTGTGCCACTAGTGACATCAGATAGTGTCAGGGTCAGTTAGCATCGCTCCCAGCTAGGGTCAGCTAGAGTTAGATTGTCCGCACACTATTACATTCACACTATAGGTCGCTGATCACCGTCATTATTAGTATAGTGTTTGTACGGATCAATAAATTGATCACGAACAAAAATATACCAGTGCCCCCTTAGTATTAGTGTCCCCAAAAACAGTGTTAGCAGGATCATCCCCGTTCGCTGCCAGCACTAGCGTTTAGCCCCAACGCTCCTCCCCCCTAAGTGCAGTGTTAGTATAATTTCTGATCACTGTCACCTGTAACATATTGCACACAAAACCGCAGTGTTCACAGAATCAGGCCTGATCTCTGTTAGCACTTGCCGGTAAGTTTTTTTGTAGCGGTTCAAGCAGTCCCTGACAGCCAGGTGCTCTTTTTCCTGTGAGTCGCACTAGGTACCTGTAAATTTAGAGTCTAAAATGTCCAACGAAAGGTACACTAGTGAAGAGGCCTACAGGATTCTGAGCATATCAGGTGAGAGCGAAGGGGAATACTCCCTGACACAATCAGCCTCAGAATACAAACCTGTAGACAGCAGCGACACCCTGACAGGTAGCATGGAAGATGGAGAAGAGGTCCCTGCTAAGATCAGACGTACCCGACCCAATGAGACTGAAGTGCTAGGATCGCATGACTTGTCTCATATGCAGCAGAGTGCCAGTACTAGTGCCACACTACCTTTTGGTGAAATGGCGAGCACCAGCGGCCTAGAATATTGTGGTCTTTTTTATACCAGCACTGCAGTATCACTCGGTGATGTGGCGAGTCCCACAAGTGCAGTACAAGCTGGTGCGGTGGCGAGCACAAGTAGCATCCCACAGCTGTTACAGAGCGCGGCGTCCGACCCCTGTCCTTCTCACCAACTCGTGACCAAATGACCAGCCGATCTCGCACCGCACTGTCACTTGTGTAACATTGCCACTCTCAGCTGCACCCTGCACAAAGATTTTCCAGCCTGCTGGACTACAATCTATGTGCCAGCAGCCTGAGAGCGATTTGTTACTGGGTTAGGTTAATTAACCCTTCACACTGCCACCACCACCTTTTTGCAGAGAAGGAGGAAACTCACAAATCCTAGCAATAACACTTTGATATTAGCATAAGCGTCTGTAATACACACTGTCACCGCAGACAGATACAGTGAAGGAAATAAGTATTTGATCCCCTGCTGATTATGAATGTTTGCCTACTCACAAAGAAATGATCAGTCTAAAAATCGAATGGTAGGTGTACTGTAACACTGAGAGACAGAATAGCAACACAAAAATTCAAAAGAAATGCATGTCTAACAAATTATGCAGATTTGTATGTTCATGAGGGAAATAAGTATTTGATCCCCGATCATTCAGCAGGCTTTCTGGCTACCAAGTGTCTTTCATACAGGTAACAAGCTGAGATTAGAAGGAGTCTCTTAAAGGGAGTGCTGCTAATCTCATTTTGTTACCTGTATAAAAGACACCTGTCCACCATGGCAAAAACCCAAAGAGCTGTCCAAGGATGTCAGGGACAAGATTGTAGACCCACACAAGGCTAGACTGAGCCACCAAACTATCGCCAAGCAACTTGGTGAGAAGGTGACAACAGTTTGTGCAATCATTCACAAATGGAAGAAACACAAATCAGTCTCCCTAGGTCTGGTGCACCATGCAAGATCTCACCTCGCGGAGTGTCAATGATCATGAGAACAGTGAGGAATCATCCCAGAACTACACGTGAGGATCTTTTCAATGATCTCCAGGCAGCTGGGACCACAGGCACCAAGAAAACCATTGGTAACACTACGCCGACAAGGATTGAAATCCTGCAATGCCTGCAAGGTCCCTCTGCTCAAGAAAACACATGTCCAGGCCCGTCTGAAGTGTGCCACTGAACATCTGAATGATGCAAAGGAGGACTGGTTGAAAGTGTTGTGGTCAGATGAGACCAAAATCAAGCTTTTGGCATCAACTCAACTCGTCTTGTTTGGAGGGGGGGGAATGATGTCTATGACCCCAAGAACACCATCCCAAATGTCAAATATGGTGGTGGAAACATTCTGCTTTGAGGGTGTTTTTCTGCTAAGGGGACAGGACAACTGCACCGCATCAAAGGGACGATGGACAGGGCAATGTACGGTCAAATCTTGGGTGAAAACCTTCTTCCCTCAGCCAGGGCATTGAAAATGGGTCGTGGATAGGTGTACCAGCATGACAATGACCCAAAACACACGGCCAAGGCAACAAAGGAGTAGCTCAAGAAGCACATTAAAGGTCTCCAGACCTTAATCCAATTGAAAATCTCTGGAGGGAGTTGAAAGGTCGAGTTGCCAAACGTCAGCCACCAAACCTTAATGACTTGGAAAGGATCTGCCAAGAGGAGTGGGCCAAAATCCCTCCTGAGATGTATGCAAACCTGGTGGCCAACTACAGGAAACGTCTGACCTCTGTGATTGCCAACAAGGGATTTGCCACAAAGCACTAAGTCATGTTTTGTGAAGGGGATCAAATACTTATTTCCCTCACGAACATTCAAATCAGTGCATAATTTGTTAGACATGCATTTCTTTTGAATTTTTTGATGCTATTCTGTCTCTGTGTTAAAAAATACACCTACCATTTGATATTTAAACTGATCATTACTTTGTGAGTGGGCAAACATTCAAAATCAGCAGGGGATCAAATACTTATTTCCTTCACTGTATATTCAGAGGATTATTACATACAGCAGCACTCAAGAGACAGGAATTCTTTAGTTTGCATTAAAAGCTTTAGAGACAGTTTCAACACTTTTCAAAATAGGACTTATTACTAAAAGGATCAAAATGGTGCAATTAAAATATTTACAGAAAAAGATGTTACAAAGACAAAGAGAACAATAATGCAACAGAGAAATAAAAGAGATGCGTTAAGAAGGCAGAATACTTGTAAAATCCTTGGTTTAAGCAGAGTCCATGTTTCCAAACAAAAAGGTTGCCTTGGCCATTAGATATTTCTTGATTCATATTAACAAGAGCACTCTTCTCCAGACCTGTCAGTCTTTTTCTATGATATATAAGGGGTGTCGTCTGAGAACAACTAACCAATCATCCAGTTTGGGGATGAGTGCTAGGCGGCTCCTAAGTTAAGGGCCAAGTTCCTACTGCAATCTCATACTGATATTAATAACTTCCGGTATGTGCAGGTGGTATTTTAGCAACTGGCAGATTAATATTCAGAATTATATTTCAACCACAGGGATACCAAACACAGCGTACCCTTGTCACCCAGGAGGGAAGAGACTGCTTCTTCTCTCTCCTAGGTGCTAATATAGTCA